GGAACTAATTAGTCACAAGTCTCATTGGTCTGAGCTTATGTACTACTTTTGAGTGAACATTGCCAAAATTATCTATAAATAGTGCTTTTTTCATCACTGAAAAACTTGAGGTCATGTTTACACTTGATATTAATATGTGTTTTGGTTGAACAGATCACAAGTAGAAGATGGAGACACATTACCGTTTACACCTGCTGTTGTAATCTGTCTCTTTTGTGACTTTGCGCACTTTCCTAAATTATTTGAGAGGAGGGTTTGTGGGCTGATGCATGTATGGGCTTTTTCCGATATTTAGATCTAATATTGTGAAATAAGCTTGCACAATTTACTTATGAATGCGAAAGGAGTACCAGAAAACAATACTGAGAGCAGCAGCTTTCATTTCTGCTCTGATAGCCACAAAAATATGCAGAATGCTGTGGGTTTGTATTAGAACCAGGACCGGTAAGAGAACACTGTGCTTTTTACAAAGCACAAGTTTATATCCCGTCCTGGCTAGTATGCTTGAAAAACCGTAATGTTTAGGAATTAGGTCAGTAGGCAGAAAGGAGGTGGTATTATGTGGCTGTTAGAATGCATTCGACCACATGAGCATTTTCACTACGATAGCAATTTCAACTACCTCGAAAGAGGCTAAATATGGACAAGCTCTAAACCTTTCAGACGTTTGTATTTAGCATTGTCCACTTGTGATTGGATTGACAAAAACACATCTTGTAAACAGGGCCTTAGATGAGTGAGGCCTACCAATAAGTTAAATACAAAAATACAAAACCTGTGCTAATTAAAAGAAAATGTATTGCATTGTACTGTATTAAAGGGATAGTTCACCCATGTCATTATTTCATTATTTAATCACCCTCTGCACTATTTTAAGTGATTTGTAATGTAATTGAAATGGGCTTCAGCACTTTTGGTCTGTCAGTATTTTAAATAGTGGGTTGGCCTGATAGATAACTGCTGATTTTTGCGTATGTGTGTCAATGTAGCTTGTGTGTGTGTGTGTGTGTGTGTGTGTGTGTGTGTGTGTGTGTG